TAGTCTAGGAGGTTTGGATGTATTCTCAAGAAGGATAGTCGTCTGTATCTGTAAGTGTCATGATTGGTATTATAACATGAGAATGTGTTCAACATGTGTGTTAAATAAGGGGTGTAATGCTACATGAACATAAAGATGAGTCTTGTGTTGTCATTCACTATTTATGTTTTTCTTGTCAAAGGATGATTGATTACCTGTGATAGGGGAAGTTAAACTCATGTCTAAGATATGTTGCTAAAATGCAGTCTTCATATAGATTTCTTGAGGGTCAAGCAGACTGAGTTTAAGTTCCTCTTGTGAGTATGTGATGTCAGGCAAGATGTTCATACATTATATTACTGGTGCAGTTCCTAGAGGACTTGGTAGTTTGAGTTTGATTATGTCATTAGGAAATCAGTGGGATGAATCACATCATGGTCATGCCTCTTAGGAGTGATCTGAGAATTGATTTTTTTTTAGAATTGATTTCTCTCTGCTGATTGAAGTCAAGATCAATGGAAGTTCTCTATTGATAAATATAAGTTTTCATGCTCAAGTATCACTAAGTCTAGATAAAAGGAATAAGTATTGAATTCAATGGAAGGCATTGTGGTTACGATTCAAAACGTGAATGTCTATGAGTATTTCCTAGAGAAATTTTTTTAATCACCTTGTGGCCCTAGTCTGAAAAATCTCTGGTTGAATGTTGAAAAATGTGTTTGTTCTTTTGATGACAAGAGAAAGTAGACAATGTCTTGTTGAATGTCAGGACATTGTTCAGGATTTGGCTCTATGAAGATCAACAAGTGGTTCTTGTGGACGGTGTAATTAAGTACACCTTAAGAGGAAGTGTGACACGTGTGATTGACCATGTGTGAGCATTTATTTGAGTTTTAAATTCCAGGAGAAACTGTCCAAAATAAATTAAGGCATGAAGAATGCTTTGTGGATGGTGCACACTTAATTTTTGGTGCAGTTATATTCCTTGAATAACACTCTCATTGACCAAGACCGTTGCTACAGTCGAGAGTCGTTAATTCCTAAGTAACAACTCAGGTATTTAAAGTAGTTATCTCTTTACTTTCATTAATCTTGTGTTAGGTTGTATTCAAAGCTCTTATGGCTTTGGCCTGGGTCTAGGTGAGTACAGTCTGGGTATGGTTTTGTGGGGGATATCGTTGTCATTTTTGGCTGAAAAGGGGGAGAAAGGTACTGGTCACCATATGAGTATTGCGTCTGTCCTTGCAGTTGTTTTGCATGGATGTTTAACATGATGTCCCAACATCATGTCTGAAGTCATGTCTCAGTTTCTATTTGTGTCTTGTGATCTGAGTTATAAACACATTTTTGTCTTGTGTTCTAAGTTATCCAGGTTGGTGTTTGGTTGCTTAGGGTAAAGTTTTTGTTTCTTCTTAAGCGTTCTCTTATGCCCCCAACGAGGAAGATTTATCCATTCGTGACAAGAATCGGTTCCTGGGTTAAGTTGGAGTAACTAGATGATAAAATGTGTGTTCTGGTTATCTTCTTCTTCATGGGCAAGAAGATTAAAATCTTTCGGCTGAAATGACTTTAGGATTTTCTGCCTCTGGACTTTTGTTCATGGGTTATTGTACAAAAGGTTTATCCAGAATTTTCCAAAAGGGAGAGATTAAAAGCTCTAAAGATTTGACTAATTTTGGTAAAACTAGATGTTGAGTAAGATGTTAAAATATATGGAAAACAACATGTCGAACAAGATGTCCTACAATGAAGATTCGACATCCTGGACTTCTACAACATGTTTTTAGTAAATCTGTTCCAAGATTTAAGGAGAGCTTTAGTAGTGGATCAAGGAATATTTTAATAGAAGATTCGAAGCCCATGGACAGCTGAAGAATATAAAAGGAAGACTTAGAATTAGGACAGTTTAACTAATCCTTGTGTAAAACATTTAAAAATTAAAAAAAAAATAGGGTTTATAATTTTGAGAGTCATGTACTTTCTTGTGTTGTAAGTCACCCTCTATATCAGTTTGATACATTGTGGTAGACGTTGTTTCTATACAGATTCAGAAGCCTTTAGTTAATGAATTGTATATAGTTCTTGGATGAAGCTTTGAAGCAAATCAAAGTATGTTTGTTAGTCAAGAGTCTTGGATGAACTTTATTTGAAAAGAGTGTCTTTCAAGTAGATTGATGTTGTCACCAGAGATTGTGATTGTTAGATATCACTGAGGGGATTTAGGGAGTGAGATGAGTTTCTCTTATATTAGATGGGGTTTTGAGATAAATATTGCATTGGGTAGTGATTTGGTAAAACAGATGTTGTTTACCTTTAAACCTGAGGTTGTTTACATGAAATAATAGTAATCTTTTTCCTGGCTTGGCAGCCCCTAGAGTAGGTGTTGTGGGACACCGAACTGGGTAATCATATCTTCGTGTTATAATCATTCTGCATTGTTTAGTTTTTTTTTCTTGATTGATTGACATGTCATATAAAGATGTTGGAACACCTGTCATGACGTTGTTCTGATATGTATTATATCAGTGTGCTTTATCCAGTCCACGTGTTGTTACACATAGATCTTTGTCTTAACATGTGTTAGGACATTGTTATTTGTGTACTAGAATTTCTGATATGAGTGATAATATTAGCGTGGAATACAAGTAACTAAAGACCTAGAAACCAAAGCACAAAGAATTGAATCTTAGCGCATAAAACATGCTCTCAAGCACGAGATTTGATTCTCCTTAAATAGAAATGATTTATGAGCTTTTCACCTTTTGATTTCTGAATGAATTTCATCTATAATAACAGGTGAATCTATTGAATTTGATTTGCTTCATAAAAATGTCCAACAAAAGATATGATTTATTATATTTTAAATTCAAATTTAAATATAATTTGATCTTCAACAACTATCAAATAAATCTCATAAACATTGCTAAAATTTTTGCAAGAACTCTGATTAAATCTCAATCAATATTTTTTGCACCTAGAAATAAGGGTCAGAAGTTGCACTAGACACATGTTGAAACATCGTGTTTTACATGTTGTACCAGAATTCCCAAATTAACTCTCTTCATAGATCTTCTTTGTACAGTAAATCTTGGATCAAATCTTCCTTCAAGGCACATCGAATCGAATCTTGTTTAACAAAATTAAATGAAAATCTTTTCCAAATTGATTTTGGATTAACAACACAAACTTCTTTCTAAAAAATAACTTCGACATCTTCTAAAGAAATTAACACGACAACTAATCTAAAGGAAATCTGAATATAGTTAGAAATCAAACCATATGCCAAGATGATACACAATCATATGTTGAACCTTTTTTAACAAGTTTTGTCAAGCATTTTAGCTATATGTTGAACCTCTTGCTTAACTCGTTATGTCAAGCACTTTAGCTGAAATATACTTCTTAGCAACAAACACAACCACGCTCAGATGCTGAAACACGTGTTGAAACATCTTGTTCCACATGTTGCCTCTGTATAAAATACATCTTGTACACATGTTATTTTACGTAATGAAGCCAAACAAAAGGAACTGCAATCACCCTTTGGTAAATTTTGACTAAAACAACCTACAAGATGTGAACTTTAATAAGTAACACAAGTAGCACACAATATCACACATCAAAATTAATAGAGAAAACAACAACAGTAGAAGTAGCACATAAGTAAGGTGATTTCTAGACATCAAGAGATCAACTCCACACATAACATCATGCTGGAACAACTTGTCCCACATGATCATTACTCCCCGTTTTTGCTTCAATTTGGCAAAGGTATGGAAATAGCAACGAACCAAACAACAAGCTTTAGGATCCAGAACAAAAGCTTGACAGGAACAACAATCAACCAAAACAACAATTAGAGTAGCAAATTGTCAAAAGTCAAAAGATTTGCTACACACATCAATGCTCCATATCAGTCGGTCATACAATCACAATGTTAGTCAGTCATACATGAACACATAGTAGTTATTAGTCAAGTAAAAAAAACAACATATACTACTAATACAAAGATCAACACGCACAGTTGAGAACCAGATGTCAAACCAAATACTTTATCAAGTTGGAGAGAAAGATATCTAACCGAATTTTCTTTCAGTTTTACAAAGTTGGTTATAAAGATGAGTAACAACAAATATTTATAGATGAATTTAAGTGTGCTAACTCAACACAACTAGAAAGATTTTAGCTTAGTTAGACTTGTTAGGTTAACTCTTATACTCTAATAGTAATAATTTTTTTTTTAATAAGCAATTTTGTATTTAGTAGGATTCAAACTTGAGACCTTGAGAGAAAGATACTCTCAAGACTCAAATATTTCACCACTAAACCACGCACGCAAACTCTAATAATAATAATTTAATACGAGGTTGATCAAAATAGTACACGGCTTGTAACTTAAAAGATTATCTTAAAATTAAAATAATTAAAAGACCAAATACTTACAATCAAATATATGCATTTGATCATAATAATTTAAATGTCATGCTAACTTATCATATTAGAAGTTTGTGTTAAAAAAATAACTAAAAATATAAATTATAAAATTTTAATAAACTACATACACAATTTCAAAAATATAATCTTTAAGTTTAACACTTAACTCGTGCCCTTAAGAGCACAAAGCACAAATTAGCATGCTCCATAATTTAATATTACGAGGACTAGTTTGATAAGATGCTACAGTTTGAATGATCACAAAGGGCACACATTAGCTGTTTTGATTGAAATATCTCCAAATAAGTACAAAATTTAGTTATCTATGATAGTGAAATAAAAATGAAGATTATTTTGAGACCAATAAAAATAAAGAGAAAAAAAATTGAACAAGGGAAGATTTTATAAATCTCAATCTTGACCACAGAAGAGTTTGCTTTAGCAGTGTCTTACACTTAACAGCCTATACATTTAACAAAGCCAGTAACCATAAATCCATAATCATGTGCTGCATTTTCTCTTTCAAATTTGAGTAGTAAATTGATAGTAGAAAAAGACATCATAACAAGCAGAAGAAGCTAAAGAAGATGTTGGAAGGAAAAGGTGTGGTGCGAGAGACAGACATGGAAGAAGTGATGCAGTACCATGTCATGGAGTTAGCTCATCAAGCTTTAGATGCACATGAAGTTTCTGATTGTCAAAAGATTGCCTATTTCATCAAACAGGTCTCATATCTTAAACTATCACATAAATTACTTCAAATCCATGTATTTTGCAGTATTATTATATATGTATTTAACCTTTCGAAAACCATGTCAAGTAATTAACTTGTTGGACAGAAACTTGATGAAACATATGGACCTGCATGGAATTGTGTTGTTGGAAATGATTTTGGATCTTGCATTACACATTTATGTGGAAGTTTCATATTCTTTCGAGTTGAGATGATGGAGTTTCTGGTCTTCAAAGATGGAAAGGACTTCACAGAAAGTAGGAAAGAAGTTATTCGAGTTCTGCAGAAACCAGGAACTTGAGATTCATAAATCCTAAAATTATATGTAACAGAAACTAATCTAGTTATTCCTAGTTTATTTGTCATAAACATGTTTAATATTTCAGAAAAAGTTATTTAAAGAGTATAGAAAAACAACGGTGTAGCCTTGTCTCAGTATCAGCGTTATCTGAGTCTTGAATCTTAAGCTTTGTCGACCTAATGCAACTTTTACTTGTCACATAGTATTAACATTGTTAGAAAACTCTTGAAAAGACTATACTTTAATCTATCTTTACATTGGTCATAACATAAGGAGAGGGTAATCAGCATTCTGAGGACTAGATACGATAAATTTATCGTTTTAAACCTCAGGATGCCGATTACCAACTCCTTAACCAATACTAACTCTTTCAAGAACGTTCAAACGAATGGTAGATGAAAAAATATAAGAAATGGTGTATTGGGAAAATGTTTGTAGATGGTTGGATTGAGTTGAGTGTAGTCATATCTTTGGGCTCTATTTATAGTCGAGAAATATATTCTTCTAGTGACATTTGGGATCAACGAACTTTTGACTGGTGAAAGATTCTTTTGATGTTCAATTATGCAGTCATTAGAATAGCCTGGTTTAAGTGTGAGTATTATTCAGAAGATTGCAGTGTAATGTGGCTGCAGTTGCCATCACATAGTCCTCAACTAGTGTCGCACAATCTAGACCACAATCACTTATTATTTTATTTTTTATCTTTTTAGAGGAATCGAAAGTAAATAAACATTACCTATAGATCATATATATATATATATATATATATATATATATATATATATATATATATATATATATATATATATATATATATATATATATATATATATATATATATTTAAAGAGTTTTCTGTTTTAACTTCATAAACGAATGGGTCATATTTTTGTCTTTTGTGATTGAAATTTATGTTTTGATAACATAGAATAAATGCCACTAATATAAAAACTTTCATGTAACCAATAATTGGTTAAGGTAAGATCTAGGGATCAAATTTTATTATGTTAGGTTTTTGTGGATTTTCAACATCTGGTATTAATAGTTTTCGGTTGAATAATTTAAGAGAAGAACGATCAAGAACAATCAAAGAAGAAGAAACTCACGATGGCGATGAATTACGCTAACAAAATTTTTCCAGCAAGTCTCCCAATTCATAAAGGTGATAACTATGAGAATTGGTGCAAACAGATGAATGTTATATTTTCTTTACAAGGTTTTTGGGATCTTGTAAAACATGGATTAGAATCACTTAATGAAGACGCTCACTACGTCATATAAGGGAATAGACAGCGTTTTTTTGGTCATAAACAGCAGTTATAAGCGTTGCCTATTCCTACGTAGTTGTAACTATAAACAACGCTTTTTCTCTCTGTGAAAGCGCTGCTTAATATAGACTTTAGACAGCGTTTTATTGAATAAGCGTTTTCTAAAGGCCCCGATAGACAATACTTTTAACATTATAAGTGCTTTCTATAGTGTGCCTATAGCAGCGCTTTCACTTTACACAACACTTTAGAAAGCGTTGTGTTATGTATTTTTTTCTCTTTTTTTATATTTTAGGCAGCGCTTTATTTTGAAGAGCTTTCTAAAGTCCCCTTTAAGGCAGCGCTTGTTATTTCACAAGCGCTTTCTATTCCCCATCGTAGGCAGCGCTTTTTGATTTAAAGCGTTGTCTAATATTCACAGATTTTTTAATATATTCAGCTTATATTTTAAGCGCCATGTACACATAATCACTTAAAATTTAAGCACTGTCTTTCAAATTTACATCATATTTTATAAATTTGAAGATTCAATCCAATAAGTATGCGCGCGCGCACACACACACACACACACACACACACACACACACACACACACACACACACACACACAAAAAAAAAAGAATTCAATAATTTATATATACATAAATTTAAATATTTACATATACAACTTTATAAACCAATAAATATGCACCAAATGTACATATTGTTATCTTCTAGAGCTGATATATTCTCTAATATCTTCTCTACAAACAACAACAATGAAGAATCCTAAATGAATATATATATCTTCTACAAATGCACCTACTTGAAACAAAACCAACAAACGCATATATATTAGAACCAAGTTATATATATAACACTTAAATTTTATAACTATTATAATTTAATACAAATCAATGTAACAAAAACAAATCAAGAATCCGTTATAACCCACCATTAAGAATTCCCCGATTCATACCATGATACAAACAAAATGTTGTTTGAATTTAAATCCAATACCATCCTAACTAACCTTCCACATAACAACAACAACATTGTAACAATTTACCACACTATGAAGACATAGTATATCATCAAAACTCAAACTTATATATACTCAAAATTCTCATCAATGAAAGTGTCACAATACCTTATAAAATTTTCATCTCAATAATGTATTGACATCAATCCTCCTTAATTTCGTCCAAATGATCTTTCGAATAAGTAGAAGACTTGTATTCATCAGGGTACTACAGAATATAACATAATATGATTTAGTAAAAATTAATTAATTAGATGAAATGTGTTAAATATATTAAAATAAACCATAAGTTAGAAACTCATACCATGGTTGGAATCTCTATTTGATTCAAAAGAATAATTTCTTTCATAAACCTCAACATGAAATAACCGCAATGTATATCATTGCGCTGACGAGGACACTACACATGGAAAAACATACAAATATATATATATATATATATATATATATATATATATATATATATATATATATATATATATATATATATATATATATATATATATATATATATATATATATATATATATATATATATATATATATATATATATATATATATATATATATATATATATATATATATATATATATATATATATATATATATATATATATCAGTTTATATAGTTTAACTTGTTTTATCAAGAAGCATCACTAATATAATCAAAATTGTGAAAATATAACTGCACTTTAATCCATATAATATTGTTTGCCTTACTCTTTGGTACTTGAATATCTCTTTGTGATCTAAAAATTTGTATAACCCTAACAAAATATAAACGAAGATTTAGAACAATCTCACATAAAAAATAAATAAGTATACAAATGAAGATTTAGAACAATCTAACTTACGTATCAACAATCTCCTTCATATTTGGGTATTTTGTCCAATCTCCTTCTAGCAAATCCAAATAGTATACAACTTCTCCTATTGGATTAATCGCAACCAACAACCAGTGTCCACTGTAAGATTAATAAAGGTTAGATGGAAACTTTCTACAGAACGTCAAAACATAAAAAAATTTAATAGATGAAGTTTTAATAAAAATCTTACCCATTGCAAGTATTAAATGGAAAAAAAATTATATATCTTTGTTGGCCATAAATGTACAGACAAAATACTCTTTGACACCATCTGGTCGTTGTTTGATTAATAGTGCGTTGATATTATTTGGAGATAAGAAGGAGAATATTTGGTCCAATTGACGCTGGCGCATCAAGTTGGCATACATGAAACTTAAATAAAAACATCATTAACATTAAGACCATTCATTGAAATTAGTGGATAAATTGTTCAATAAATTAAATAAAGTTGATAAGAGAATACCTGATGTATGTATTGACAACACCGAGGCCTAATTCTTCATGTCTAAGAACTTGATCCACATCCTCTTTACTTATTGTTTCGTAATAGGAAAAACCAAAAATACCTTCCTCCATAGGTATATTACGAGCACATCCGTCGGCCAAATCTGAAATTTCCATTAATGTCTGAAGGCATGACCTATACCGAGAAGTAGGCTTTTTTGTAGCCGCAGACTTTGCCACATCCTTTTTTTGTGCGAACATGTTGTCAATTTCAGGCTTCTTACTCATATAGATTTATTGCATGTATTTAACATGAATCTAAAGATCAAATGAATATAATAAGTTAGATGAAGTATAAGATCATGAATTAACTTTTTATATGTATAATATATATCAATTTACCTCTTTTTTGGATGAAACTGACTCGGTCTGCTGCTTAATCCCCTTATCTTTTGATTCGGATTTTGTGGGAGTCTAACATTACCATGAAAAAAATGTACGTTAAATGGTCATAAAAAAATTGAATACTCAAATGTTCATAACAGTTTTCAACATACCTCATCATCTATGAAAATGAGGATTGACGACCATGCAACATAACATCCTATTTCCTCTCCCACCAATGTTGCATCTGAAATATCACCAGGAAACGGTAATGGAGCATCCCTCTTTAAAGCAATATCAATTGACACTTTCAAAAATCCAGCAGGGAGCAGTTTATGGTGAAGTACTTCTCCCAAGGTGTTATGCAATTTTTCCTTGCCAACCATGCGATAAGCCGGTGACGATAAATATAGCTGACAAGGTGAAATGCCCTAAACCAATAATAAATATGAAATTGTTAATGTTTATATATGTAAATTTAAAAATTTGTGCTAATTCATAATAATATATGTTACCTTGGAAATTTTCTGTTGGAAATCACAATTGATACTATCTTTGTCACTAGTATCCTTGAACCCTGAACTTTGCCTTTCTGACATCTATATTTATTTGTCCTTTTCCAACTCACAAACTTTAACTTTTAATTTTTCTAACTCTTCCATCACTTCTTTATTGCTATGACCTTTCCTCTTTTGATGTTTACCCAAAGATGTTTGAGTCACCCCGAATCCCTTACCCCTCACACGACTGATATACTTAGAAACATTTAATACTCGACATAGTATGCTTATGCAATCATAGTCTTCAGCTTGAGTTAAAGATTGAAATAGACTCTCCTGAGATTCATATGCATAACAAAATAAATTAGTGGTGATTAAACTCATAAATTCTATATTTTAACAAACTTTTGATTTTATTATAGGAATATTGATATACTTACACATTTCTCATAAATTTGAAGCACATCTTCCTTAACAACTCCATTCTTACCCACCCGGGCAGCCTTCCACAGAAC